AAATAAGTTAATTTTGATTTTCTAGTTTTCTTTTATGGTCAAAGCATTTATTGGGAAAATTCATGCAACACAAATCCACACTCAAACTCTACTGGCCATTTCGTGCCCCACGCATCTCTTATTTAGACCATATACCAATTTGCCCATCTGATTCCTTCCATAAGGACCCCTTTTTCTCTCCAGAAAATTAAAGTATCAATCTTTTTCGTTGTTACTGGAGAAAGAAAAAGAGCAGCAACCACAAAACTTCCAGCTCCCAACTCACAACCACAACCTAACAGGAAATATATACTGGGGTTATAAACATCTAGTATATGGTCTGCATGCTATTTTGAACATCGACCTTAAGTTCCTTCAATATGTCTTCCATTCTACCTCAAAACCATGCCATTACATCCTCACACCGAGTCCTCTCAGGGATATCTGATAAAATAGGAACGATACAGAGAAGATCCTCACAGCAACTGAAGACCAATATTTCTCGTCAATTTCCCCTATTTGCACGAGTCTATTGTGTCTCTTCCTCCACCACCACCAAAACACCGCCCCTCGCAGAGCCATTAATCCTTCAGCCACAACCGGCGAATTATGAGCCACCCACTCCCATCATAAAATCCGACACTAGTACTACAGTCACTAGTAGTACAAGAAGTGTACTCAATGACCCAAGTTTACAATCCACATGGGCTCATCGGGCATGGATGGCGAGCGGGTGCACCACCGTGCTAATTTCTTTAGCTAAGTCTGCAACAGGGGCCATCGACTCACAAATGTGGGTCGGGCCCATTGTAGCAGGTTGCATAGGCTACGTGCTATCAGACTTAGCTTCTGGCATCTACCACTGGGGTATTGACAATTACGGTAGTGCAAAAACTCCAGTATTCGGAAGCCAAATTGACGCATTCCAGGGCCACCATAAATGGCCCTGGACTATAACCAGGCGTGAATTCGCTAACAATCTGCACGCCCTCGCTCGTGCAGTGACTTTCACTGTACTTCCAATTGACCTTCTTTGCAATAATTCAGTGGTTCTTGGCTTTGTTGGTGTATTTTCTGGTTGCATTATGTTTAGCCAGCAATTTCATTCTTGGGCACATGGCACAAAAAGTAAACTTCCTCCTCTAGTGGTTGCACTACAAGATGCTGGAATACTCGTGTCAAGATCACAACACGCCGCGCACCATCGTCCACCTTATAACAACAATTACTGTATTGTGAGTGGAGCTTGGAATGAGTATTTGGATAGATCTAAGGTTTTTGAGTTACTGGAGATGATTTTCTTCTTTAAATTCGGAGTGCGACCGCGGTCCTGGAGTGAGCCTAATTCAGAATGGACTGAAGAGACTGAGACACAAGCTCTGCCTGCTTCTAACTGAATTCAATTGTCTCTATTGATGCTTGTTTTATTTTCATCTACGGTCTGTGTACAAGAATGGTACAGGATTACATTGTTGTTTTTAAAATTTAATGTACAGGCTGTGATGAGCTATATCAGTTAATATTACATGTTCAAAAGAATTTAATACCTCTTTCTTTGGTCCTTAGAAAAACTACCACTAGTTAAAAATTACAAAATTGCATAAGAGAAGAGACGTAAGTAACAATTGTGCAAAAGCAGGCGGCAGAAAACCCACAAAGTTAACCGAATGCCTGCGGTTTATCACATGGAGCGTCTAAAGTGCCTTTTAGGCTAGGCGAAATACATAAACAATCCCTTTAAGTTGTCCTCAACGATCAATTAAACATCTTAATCGAGCCCTGTTTTATTTTGACACTTCAAGTGGCTATTAAATAGATCAAGTAAACACCCGAGTGCAGCACAGCATATGCGTGAGTTACACTTGCCAATGACATGTCAAATGAACCAATTAACACATGACACGTGTAATTTCACCATAAAAACTTGACACATGTAATTAACAAAAAAAAAAAATACATTTAAACAAGAAAAAAATACTTTTTTTCCTAAACCAACACCCCCTCCCCCCTTTTCTTCTTCTTCGCTCATCCCCTTTTCCCAAATCTACCAAATTGTCCCAAAATAATGTATTTATCCAAAAGAGTAGAGACTAATAACTAATAAATTGATAATTAACAATCAATTTTCATCAATAATTTGTCAAATTGGGATGATGTAAAGTCTCAAAATCTATTTAAGAAGCAGCCAACAAGTGGGTTTGTTCCAAATAATTAATCATGAGATTTCTCTGAAGTTTTTGATGATTCGAAGGAAGATGGCAACAGGCTCTTTGAGTTACTAGCCGAAGCAAAAGTAGGAATTTTGGTCTTGTTTCCTAAATCTGAAAGATTCTTTCCAATTGAAAGAAAAGGTCACCAACAATGGTGGGGAAAAGGTGCGGCTAGCAGAAGGAAGATGAAGAGATAAAGAATGAAGTGAAAATCAGGATTTGGGCTTAAATTAGAGACTTTATTAAGGGTATATTCAGAATTACACATACAATTATCGTTTATTACTGTATGGGATGGGTAAATAACGTGTTTCTCCGAAAGTGTATTACACGCGAGGTGCTGACTGGGTCAGGTGTTTACTTGATCTATTTAATAGCCACTTGAAGTGTCAAAATAAAACAGGGCTCGGTTAAGGTGTTTAATTGATCATTGAGGACAACTTAAAGGGGCCGTTTATGTATTTCGCCAAAATTAATTAATATTAATATCTTTTTTACACACACGTTTATATTTTGAAATACTCGGTTCAGTTTAATTCACCTACCAAAGACATCATCGCCTCTATATAAGTAAATACAAGGGAGTATAAACTAGTAATGCTTCAACATGATTATTTGACGGTATGGATTTTAGAAACAAGAATACAAATTACACCTCACAACCACTACCTAATACCTGGAATAAGCGACTTATTAATAGTGTTGCATCAGTTGTAAATAAGCACGTAATTTGAAGATTCTGACTATTCCGTAACAAAATTATTAAAAAAAATAAAATTGCTTGGTTAATTACATAGTTACAACAATGAGAACATTCTACTCATGCATATAGAAAATTGGAAATCATACATGTTTTCTCTCCAATCCTATACTTCATCTAAATTAACTAATTGAAAGGACCTCAAATGATAAAAATTGCCAATCCATATTAATCCTTCATCGAAGAACCAAAACATAATTTGATAAATAATAAAAACAAAGGTGATTGAGGTAAAATACCCTAGCTGCGCAGGTACTCCTTTGAACCTCCATTGCCCCGTCTTCGCCTCATTCTTTTTTTAATTATAGTTGTTTTGTTGGAATAGCAACAACAATTAGAGTGGCGCAGCGGAAGCGTGGTGGGCCCATAACCGACAGGTCCCAGGATCGATACCTGGCTCTGATATTGTGCACATCAGTTGAACTTCCCATCTCTTCTTTTTGTTCTTTTTCGGAAAGGGGTTATCTTTAAAGTAACCTTTTTTATTTCGATAATGATAAGAAATTTTTTTTATTAACTTTATTATAGGTTTTAGAAAATATCAATTTTACTTTCTATCACCCCAAAACTTAGATATTTTCATTATCATGCTCCAAGAGTCCAAGTCCTTTTTTTCTTTATAGTTGAACTGAAGCATAAGTTATCCTTCGTTGTGAAGGGACATTAACAATTATAGTTTTGTTTATGAGAAATAACTTTCCTCTACTTTTATCTATGGAGATACTAGAAAAGAAAAGAACTACAAAGATCGAAGTTTCTCTTTTACGTAGAAATTACACGGGGCGTCCTATTTGGTCGCCCCCATTTAACTTATACCCATTTTTTTAAAAACTTTTAACTTGTACCCACTTTTTAAAAAACTTCAGTTTCCTTTCTCCGCTGCGTTGCTTACCTCTTCCTTTGTCCTTGCTGCTGCTTTCTCCACTGCGTTGCTTACTTTCTCCTTCACAGAATGCATCTTCTTCTTTCTTCTTTGCCTTGCGTAGAATACTACAGTTGTTGATAATGTAGTAAATTGAAGGTTCTGTAGTTTGTGGGGAAATAATTAGTAGTAATTAAATAGAACTATAGCTGAAGTTTATGTGAAAAGAGTGTTATTTGGGGTAGTAAACATACAATGAACTAAATAACTTCAGCTCTATAGCTGAAGTTTTCCGGTTACAAAGACAAAAACTTCAGCTCTAGAGCTCAAGTTTTCCGGTTACAAAAGAAAGCTGAAGTTTTTATTTTATAACTGGAAAACTTCTAGAGCTGAAGTTTTTATTTTATAACTGGAAAACTTCAGCTCTAGAGCTGAAGTTTCCGATTACTAAACAAAAACTTATAAAATAAAACTTTAGCTCTTTATAACTGGCAAACTTCAGCTCTAGAGTTGAAGTTTCCGGTTACTAAACAAAAACTTATAAAATAAAGTTCGCGAGTTACAAAACAAAAACTTCAGCTCTAGAGCTGAACTTCAGGCCCGGCTACTAAAATGCTGAAGTTTTGTGTGATTGCCTTTGCTACTTCAGCCCCGCATGCTGAAGTATGTGAAAAAGCGGGTACGCTTGCAATTTTTTTTGCAAAGCGGGCACAGGTTAAAATGTGGCACAAAAAGCGGATATAGATGCAAATGCCCCTCTTTTATGACTTCTATTTTAATAGATTCCTTAATTTAACTTTTCACCTTTTTAACATCCCGTGAAATTTTAAAACGGCCTTCAAAATTCAATTCCTTGTAGGTTCACAAGAAATCGCCAAAAATATGAACTGTATTGCCTCAAGTAATGATATAATGCTAAAACTTCACAACCTACGTTTTGTTGGGAGGATATTTTGCGATAGTTTCTAAGTAGTACTACAAAGGGAAGCATAAAGGAAGTAAGTAATAGTTAAGCAGAGATAATGACTATAAACTTTCTTTTGGTTCATCTTTTCTTTTTCCTTTTAAGAAAGTAAAAGGCGAAGGGGAATTAGCTTCTCAAGGAAAAAGCCTCCCATTACATTACACTTTTTTTTCTTTTTTTTTTCTATTTTTTACTACTCAGAACAGAAGAACTTTGACTAACGAATTTACACCAATTGTTTTTGTGCCAAGCTATGGCAATTGTACGAATGTAGTCGAGCTAATGGAAGCTCCAAAATTAGGAACTAGCATTTGTTAGGAGGTTCCCAAATTGCTGAGTATGCACAAGACACAGTTTACAACAGATATTGCCAGATTGCAATTAGTTTCCAATTAAATCACTGCAACCAAGTTATACAACAACATGATCAAGAACAGCCCTTAGGATGTGTAGAGTTTTACTAGATGCAGAATGTTGGGACACTGGCTGGACGATACACGAATGGTCTGACTGTGTAGGAATGTCCAGAAGGATGATTATAGCTGAACTTCACACCCGATTTTCCATCTCGTATATGTGTGCAGTGTTCATGGAAGCTGCTAATGGATCTTGCTAGGCATGCATCCCAACGATCACTCTCTGGCATTGTCTCTGCTACTCTGTAAATGCCCTTTGAGTTTGTGAATGCCTGATAATTTAGAACTTCCCCAGATTTAGTTATACAAAGAACAGCAACCTCAGCACCTGCAACAAGAAACAAGATGAACACCCTCAAGTAGTGACACCAAATATGAATCTATTGTGTATCTATAGCACATGGTTTTGTAACAGATAATGTTTTATTGATCGTTGACACAGCATCAATGCTCGAAATCACCTTAACCAGCAGAAAATTTAGCCGAGCAAACCTCAAAGTTGCATGTCAATCAGACATAATGCCAGACAGTTTATGTCCCAATTGTCCATTGTAAAGTACAAACAGTTGGTTTTTGGCCTTCTTTGCTCTTACAGTACTAATAAAAATTGTCCTGGAGATATCTCATCTCGAAAGAGAAAAAACAACACCAGAATCTTGAGAAGTAGAGGCGGAAAGGAAAAGCAAACTAATTTAATACCATTATAAGCTAATCTTAAGAAGGGGAGCTTTGGCGTAACTGGTAAAGTTGCTGCCATGTGACCAAGATGTCACGGGTTCGAGCCGTGGAAACAGTCTCTTGCAGCAATGTAAGGCTACGCACAATAGACCCTTGTGGTCCAGCCCTTCCCCGGACCGCGCGCATAGCAGGAGCTTAGTGCACCGGCCTGCCCTTTTAGCTAATCTTAAAGTAGATAATGACAGTTCAAAATACTTGGAATTTATCCTTTACGCCGGAAAAGAGAAGTTTTGTTACAACCTCAAGTTTTGTGATCTTCAATTACTCCTTTAACCTGCACTATACAAATCAGAGCACATTCTACACAAGAAGCTCGAGGTGCTAACAACACCTAACTATAAAACCCTCCCATGGAATGAAGTTTCTGGAAAAAAAGAGTTTGAAGCAGGACAGCCCATGAATTCAGTTTTCCACCATGTTCCTGCAGCAGCTAAGTAAGAAGCAACCACGAAGACAATCCTGGTAGAAAACACATGCAACTGCTCAACATTGTATTCTATCACTCAAATGATCTGAGCTACATAAGATAGTCAATTAGCTATGCTGGAGACCAGCTATAAGTCTTTTCTAAAGTGAAATAGCACAGCTATGATAATACAAAAACGTTTCCAATGTATGTATCTGCACAACGATCTAGGATAACGTTCAGAATCTAGATGGTTACGAGTAGGCTGAGCAGGTTATCCTTGAAACTGTAGATACTTCTGAGAGTCGGTTCGGCCATTCATGTATCCAAAAATATGTGATGTATCAAAATCTTTCAAGCTCTTATCTAATTTAATTATCACCCACCATTTGAGATTAAGGAAACCATAGATATCCAACTGATAGCCGAATAAGGTATTAACAAACATACAAGGATTAGAGCTCTACTAATGGAGTGTCACATCATACATTAAACAGAAGCTAGATTAAATTTTTTCTTTCAAGCTTTCTGAAGAATATTCTCCAAAAGTCATCAATAGGTATTCCTAATTTCATATGACTCAGTTCAATATCATTATTCTCTAGCGCCCCCATCCTAAGAAAATGGCAAAAATCAGAGCACATAACTTGGCACAGCCCATAACTAACAAAGAGTAGCTGATGAACTAAACAAGGCATAGCAGCCAGATGGAAGTACAGAAAGTAGCAAGAAAGGCTATAACAGAGACTAGCCCGTTTGGACATAAGAATTTTTTCACTTTTTCTTTTGAAATTTTTTCACTTTTTTTCGAAATCAGTGTTTGGCCATAAAATTTCCAATTTTCACTTGAAGATGAATTTTGGAATTTTTCGAAAATTTGAAAAACTCCAAAAAGTTGTTTTTCAAAATTTTCATTCAGATCACTCACAAAACTTCAAAAACAACCCAAAATTATATTCATGTCCAAACACAACTCTAATTTTCAAATACTATTGAAAATTTTTTTCACTTTTTTTTGGAATTTTACAATTCTTATGTCCAAACACCCTAGTCCATCTTGTGTCTAGTAGAGCAGCGACAATCATGTTATTTTTTTATGGAAGAATATGTGGGCGTCCTCCTATGCCACAATCATCACATGTTCATTACTAAAACTTAGGAAATTTTCAATTAGAATAAGGCATTGGGG